AGCCAGTGTACCTTGGAGGGGTAGAATTCCCCGAGTCCACAATGGAATCCTCTTGGGAACACTGTCCCTCGAGCCCAAAGCCAGCAGTTGGAGAGGCCTGAGTGGCGGAAGTGCCCCAATACTCCATAGCCCCCGAGCACGTGCCAGAGGTGCCAGAGTCAGGAGCCGCCTCCATGGCAAACCCCCTTGCTACTGACTTCCTTTTCGGAGCAATTGCTGAATTATGAGAGTGCCCCTGATAGAATTCCCTTTCTCTGGCTGTGTTTGATTTATGTGGATATCCCTGGTCTGTCTCCCTGTCTGGAGCACTATCTGACATGTTTGAATAATGTGGATACCCCCAGTGTGACTCCCTGTCTGGAGCAATAACGGATGTGCAGGATGACCCCTTATCCTGGGAATTCCCGGTTGGCGCACTTGCGGAAGCTTGGGATGACCCCCAACCGACCTCATCAGCTTGTGAGGCCCTGTTAGGCCTAGGGACCTGTGACCCAGAACCCATATTATGGTCCTCCTCCCCCCCCAGAGCAGAACCAGGAGCGGAAACGTGGCTGTCCAGTCTCCAACGCAGTTGGTCTATGTGTCTGCGAAGAATGCGGCCATCATCCAAGGCAACTTCGTATGACAGCGGCCCAGAGACCTTGCAGACCACTGCTGTGACCCAGAGATGTCCAGGCCCAAAGTTCCTTGCCCAAACCAGATTGCCCACCTGAAGTCTCCTAGGTGCCCGCGGTTGTGACACCTGTGAAGCCACCCGGTCTGGGTGCAACCTGTCCACTTTGGTGATGAGGTGGCGACCCCAGCAGAGTTCTGCAGGGCTCTTCCCTGTGGCTGTGCAAGGTGTGGTGCGGTGTGCAAGAAGGAAATCGGCTAACCTGTGATGCCAGTTACCATAAGTCAGTTTCTTAAGAGCATCTTTGGTAGAGCGCACCATTCTCTCTGCCTGTCCATTGGAGGATGGGTGGAAGGGAGCAGAAGTCGCATGCCAGATCAAGTTGGCCTGAAGGAAAGCCTGGAACTCAAAAGAGGTAAATTGGGGACCGTTATCTGAAACCAGGACATCTGGAAGCCCGTGCGAGGCAAAAATTCCTCTCAACACCTGGATGGTCCTGGCAGTAGTAGTGGAGGAAACAGGAACAACCTCTAGCCACTTGGAATGGCTGTCAATGATGAGAAGGAAGAATTGCCCCTGAAAGGGCCCAGCATAATCTATATGCACCCGTGACCATGGGGTTTGAGTTTCCTCCCACCTATGTACTGGGGCCTGAGGCATTTCAGGCCGTGACTGTTGGCACAGTTGGCACCTGTGCATGGCCCAACCAAAGATGGCTGCGTGCAAGCGCCTTCATCTTTACTATACCAGGATGTCCCTCATGCAGCGAGAGCAAGATTCTAGACCTCAATGAGGCTGGGATTACTACCCTACTACCCCATAACAGGCACCCCTTGAAAGTAGAAAGTTCATGCTTCCTTTGCCAGAAGCTTTGAAACTGAGTATCTGGGCACGTGTCAGGCCATCCTGACAACACCCAGGTCAGCACGCGTGTGAGCGTGTGATCAGTGGCTGTTTCTGCAGCCACGTCCCTAGCATTTAGGGGAGATTCAGGTAACTCCTGAATGGAAAGGATATTAATGGCAGGAGCAGCATCTGCCTCTATCTGTTTAAGAGGTAGTCTACTGAGGCCATCAGCATGGCCCATTTCTTTTCCCGGTTTATGAATTAGAGTGTAGTCATATGCTGACAGGAAAATAGACCATCTCAGCATACGTGGGGAAATAATATGTGGTGTCTGTTTGTTAGTGGTAAACAAACACAGCAGAGGCTTATGGTCTGTGTAGACCGTGAAGTGGCGGCCATATAAGAAATCATGGAATTTCTTTATGCCAGCCACTATGGCCAAGGCTTCTCTGTCAATCTGAGCGTAATTCCGCTCTGCAGATGACAGAGTCCTTGAATAGTAGGCCACAGTGACTTGTGTCCCATCAGCCTTCAAATGTACTGCTCCCACCCCATAAGTACTGCTCCCACCCCATAAGGAGATGCATCGCATGCGATGCATACAGGCAATTGCTCATTGAAATGTGCTAACACAGCATTTGAAGAGAGCAAGGCCTTAACCTCATTGAAACTTCTTTCATGGACTTTAGTCCACTGCCATGGAGCCTGCTTGTCTAAGAGCTGGTGTAACGGCTCAGCCACTGCAGCCTTGTGGGGAAAGAAAGCATGATAAAAATTTAAGAGTCCCAAGAAAGCTTGCAGCTCGCTTTTGGACTTGGGACTTGGGACCTGCTGAATAGCTTGGAGCTTAGATTCAGCAGGATGGATGCCTTGAGCATTAATTCTGAAACCCAAGAATTCAGTGGAAGTGACTCCAATTTTGCATTTATCTGGCTTCAGTTTTAGGCCCGCTTGGAGAAAACGAAGGAAGACAGCCCTTACTCTTTCAGCTAAGTTAAGAGATGACTCCCCAGCAATGAAGACGTCATCAAAGTAGGGACAGACCCCAGGAATACCACGAAGTGTGCGCTCCATGACATTTTGGAATATGCCAGGGGCTACATTTACCCCAAATTGCAGTCTTTTGACCTTAAAGGCCCCTCTATGTGTTACAATCGTTTGGGCCTGTGCAATGGCCTCATCAACAGGTAGCTGTTGATAGGCCTGTGCCAGGTCAAGTTTCGCAAAAATGCACACCTCCTTGAGGGAGGCCAGAATGTGGCTTACAATAGGCACTGGGTATGCGTGCTGTTGCAATGCTTTATTCAGTGTGCACTTATAGTCTGCACATATACGGACTTCCCCATTAGCCTTTATAGGCGTTACTATGGGGGTTTCCCATGGACTAGAATCCACAGGTTCTAAAATGCCCTGCTGGAGCTATTTGTCCAGCTCAGCATCTATCTTGCTTTTGAGGGCAAAAAGCACCCTTCTAGGTTTGACCCTGATTGGCGTGATAGTTGGGTCTAAACGTAATGAAATGGGAGGCCACTTGTAGGATCCTAGCTCTGAACTAAACACATCAGCAAACTCCTTGCAGACTTCTGCAAGGCCCAACATTTGCAAGTTGTGCAGCCCAGTCACTTGGATTCCCAGGGCCTCGTACCAATCGAGTCCAATAAGACTCGTGCGTTCACCCCCAACAACCACCACATCTAGGAAACCTTCAAAATCCTTACGCTGCACCTTGAGCGTGGCCTCCCCTTTTACACTGACTTTGGAATTTTGAAAATCAGTGAGTATTAGATTCAATGGCCTGAGTTTAACTCAACAGCCACTATTGCTACAAATCCTCTTGAATGTGTCAAGTGAAATGATTGATAGAGCGGACCCTGTGTCCAACTCCATCAATAAGGGAACCCCTTGCAACTTCACGTCAATGCAAAGTTTTTTCTTAAGGGGCTTGTGTGTCCCTGTCCTCAGAACACTCCTGCGCAATGCGTAGAAACCCACCCTGTATTGGCTGGGGACCCTGGTACCTTTCTGAAGCAATTCTTCCTGAGGTTGGACCTTCTGGCGACCCAAACAGATGGAGGCAATGGCGGAGCGAAACCTGCAGTCAGCTTGCTTGTGGCGTCCTCCGCACCCGAAGCACTGAAGAGATGCTGGGGCCTTGTCCGGATGCCCCTTCGGCCTCCTCTCAGCTGGCTGGTGAAGTCTGTCTACCTCCTCTTCAGGATCCGCTTCCGATTCTTCTCGAGCATCCTCTTGATGGACGGTAGCTGTGGCTGGAGGATTTCTGGCGAGCCGCAAAGCCTTCACAGCACCGCCTGCTGCTTCTTCAGCTGCCACCTCTCTTAACGAGTCTTGGAACGAGACCTCTTCTTTTGCAAAGATCTTTTGTTGGAGGTCTCTGCTTCTTAAGCCACACACGAAGTGATTGTGCAGCCTTTCTTCCAGATCCTTGAACTCACAAGGCCTGGCCGCTTGTCTTAAGGCAGCAATAAAGTCCGCAGCAGATTCACCCGGCCTCTGGTCTCTCTGCTCGAACGCGTCCCTTCAAGCGATGACAGATAATTTCGGCTGGAAGTGTTCCTTCAACATCTTCTTCAAGTCAGCGTATGTTACTGACTCCAGAAGTGCAGGGGCCACCAGATTTTCCGCGATGTCAAAAGCTTCCTGTCCACAGGCACACAGAAGTGTTGCTGCCTTCAGGCCGTCTTCTCTTATCTGATTTATTCTAAAGTAATTCTCCACTCGTGCTATGTAGGAATTCCATTTCTCTGGGTGGGAGACATCAAAATCAGTCAAGCGGCCGATCTTCGAACTCGTAAACTTTACGACCTTCACTAATTGCCTCCCTGCAAGCTGATGTTTGGGAAAGGGTCCTTTCGCCGAGCTCACCTCCAGCGACGCTGTCCTGGCAGGCTAAGTCGCAAATGCAGAACGCCGTCTTCCTGATTGCCAGGACTTCCTTGCTGAGTCCTAAATCTTTTTCTTGCTTGCAGGGATCCCACCTTCGTTGCCAGTGTTGTGTTTTCGGTTCACTAGCAATTGACGCAGACACATGGTGAAAGCAACAAACTCTTTATTACACACTCCTACAACCAAGCAAACAGCAAAAGGCATGGAGGCCTTTTATAGTGCCTGAAACCCGGACAGTGTGAACCAATAGGAATTGATCCTTTTCGCGCCTTGCGCATGCGCATAAGGCTGGCGCCACTCTGTCTGGTCCCGGGCAGCTTTTGGGATTGCCCGGGACCATTTGCAACAATTCTGAGCCTGCTTTCAGCTCTTGCAGGCTCAGGACACAATACAGCTCTTACAGTTTGGCATCATCTTTCTCTTATTACACTTTACCCTGTGGGTCTTCCCAAAGTTTAGAATCCCCAGGTTGCATTGTTTCAAGGCATTTACATTAACTTTTCTAAAAGGTATCTTTTTAAAAAATAATCAAATAAAAGAATTAGACAATTCTGCTTTAGTGAAGCATGCATTTTGTCTGTTAAAGAAATGTTTTGGAGTGCCATGTTTGCTGCTGACTTATTAGATGATCCCCAGGTTATGGGAAATTCTGAATTATGTCAACAAGCTCATCATATAATTTTTGACGTGCATCAAGCCCAAAAAGATAATCGTAATGCTTCCAATGAGGAATTATTTTGTAGGAGATCAGATTACTAAGAAGAGGGAGAAGTAGTTCGGTATCCTTTAGTGTAGAAATTTTATCTTTTTCACCACCCCACATGATGGTTGGGATATTCATGCTTCTTATATCATAAAAGGCAGGGCTCATCTAAAGAGAAGATAAAAATTTTATTAAATCTCATTACAACTAAATATTGCTAGTATTGTAATATTGTTGTATGTAACCTGGTGTTTTGAATCATTTAGCTTTCCTACTTCCCAGAGTCTAGCCTTAGGATAGCTCTAAGGACACTGACTTATCTTTTGGGATGGTTATTAATATACTGCACTTTTGTTATCCATCTCATGCTATGTGGTTATCACTATTCCATATCATAATAGATCTTCTATTTTTGAGCAATCTACCTACATGCCTTTCTACCTCCACCCTATTCAACCATAACCCCATAAAAATCTGAAAATAATCCTTTTAATATTATTAGCACAGTAAGCTTCAACTCATTATCTCTAATTCTCTTAATTAATTCCTGCTAATTGGTCCTAAAATAACTTTTCATGTAATTTAAGAGAGACTCAGTACCTTGTACACTAGAAGCAGTGATGGGATTCAAATATGTAAACAAACAGTTCTCTGTGTGGATGCCACTTCCAGATGCCATTTTGGGCCTGGGTAACAAAAAATTAGCTACCGGTTCTGCTGAAGTGGTATGAACTGGCTGAATCCCACCACTGACTAGAAGTACTGTCACTGGTCTCAGTCAAATGTGCAAGAACTACTATAGGATTAGACATTCTTTTTTTAATTTCCTGAGACCTATGTCTGAGTAGATATTGCTTATACTTGATAGAACAGCATTTCATTGATACAAAGATGGACACTCCTGCCTTTAATCAAAATAAAATTCAGATGAATCCAGGATGATGTGTTAAATATAATGGTATTATGTAAAAAAAAAAAATACAACTTTGTATCCGCTTTATTTTCATTTTTATTTATCTGCAATATAGCTTTCATTTAAAAAAAAAAATCTTCGTCTACCTGATTGTATTTTTCCATATTCTTAGAACCATAATCAAATTCTTTAAACTGCCCAGTTTCATAAACCTGAAAAAGACAACAGAAAAAACCACAAAAACCACTTTTGTAAATTATTTTTATTTTTATTTTAAAAAAATGATGCAATTTTCTAAAGCTTCCCATTAAAACTATTTATATAATCCTTTAGAATAAGTTAGAACAAAGCTACACAGACTAGAAGGGGGGGGAAGTAATTCTGGAACAAAATAACTTTCCTAACCTGGTGTTTTTGGATAGATTGGAATTTTAAGTTCCCTAATAAAAAAAGCCCACACTACTTGTTGTGTCCTGAGCCTGCAAGATGCAGGCTCGGGACGTTGCAAGAGTCCTGGGCATTTGCAGAAGCTGCCCGGGACCAGACTGAGCGGCGCCGGCCTTGTGCGCATGCGCAAGGCAGGAAAAGCCCGCCTCATGATTGGTTGAACTTGCCCGGGGATCAGAGGATATAAATAGAGGCCTGCGTGCCTCTGCTCTGGTTGTTCGAGAGTGGAGCAAACAATAAAGACTTGTTGAAGATGAATCGTCTCAAGTGCCATTATTCCCAGGACTTAACACTGGCGACGAAGGTGGGATCCAGTCTCTACAGCTAAGAAAAGCTAGAAGACTCACCCAAAGAAGTCCGGGAAAGAAACGGCGTGGTGGTCAGCGTTATCTTGCCAGTACGAAATCGCTGGAGGGTGCGTGCGACTGAAGAAGAAGGAATCTTGATCATCGACCATGGAGAAGGTTGGGCAATTAGAGGCTTTCGACGTCTCTCACCCCGAGAGGTGGGAATCTTACGTGGCAAGAGTCGAGACGTATTTTCGCATCAACCAGATTCAAGAGGAAGGCTTAAAGGCTGCCACATTGTTGTGCGTTTGTGGGCAAGATGCCTTTGAGATCGCCGAGAGTTTAATCTCCCCAGTCTCGCTGGAAACGGTAGCGTACTCCGACCTCAAGAAAACCTTAAAGGAACACTTCCAGCCCAAGCAATCAGTCATGGCTTGGAGGCACACATTTCAACAGAGAGATCAGCGAGTCGGAGAATCAGCAAAAGACTACGTTGCGGCCTTGAGAAGAGCAGCTAAACTGTGCGACTTCAAGGACTTAGAAGAAAGACTTCGCGATCGTTTTGTATGCGGGCTGAGAAACACAGAATTGCAGCAGAGACTGTTCGCCAGGGAAGATGTTTCCTTCCAAGATGCTCTGCGAGAGGTTTCGGCTGAAGAAGCTGCCGGTGGGGCGGTCAAGAACATGCGGCCCAAGAGAAACGCTCCTGAGACCGCCACTATTCACAAGGAAGACATGCGTGAGGAGTCGGATGAAGATCCTGAAGAAGAGGTGGATAAGCTTTACCAAGCTACTGGAAGAAAGTCCAAGGATCGTCAGGACAAGGGCCCAGCTGAGCTTCGTTGCCTTGGATGCGGTGGACGCCACAAGCGAGCTGAATGCCAGTTCCGTTCCGCCATTTGCCGTGCGTGCGGGAAGAAGGACCACATCGCTGTGGCCTGCCTGGGTCAACAGAAGGTACAACCGAAGGAAGAATTGAATCTGAAAGGTACCAGGGTGCCCAGCCAAAACAGGGTGGGGTTCTGTGCAACACGCCGGAACATTTTAAGAATAGGCACACACAAACCCCTTAAAAAGAAACTAACACTTAAAGTGAAATTGCAGGGAATTCCATTAGCAATGGAACTTGACACAGGGTCTGCCCTATCCATAATTTCCCTCAATACATTTCACAAAGTCTGCAGCAGCAGTGGCCAGAAAGTTTCCCTAAGGCCCTCTAATGTAATCCTTACGGATTTCCAAAATTCTAAAGTGTGCGTTAAGGGGGAGGCCACCCTTAATGTACAGTACAAGAATTTTGCAGGCCCCCTAGATGT